ATCTATTACCTATTTAAAAAAAAAAGGCTAAAATAATAAGCCCTAAGATTTTATTATTTTTACCAATAATTAACGCTATATAAATAATTAACAATAGTAAAAGCTTTAAAGATTTTATTTTTTTTTTATTAAAAATCTTTTCTATAAAAGGTATTATAAACCGTAAGCTTTTAAAAAGTAAATTACAGTCTATAGGGTAGTAGTTATAAACGATATTACTACTCAACAGTAAATAAAAGCAGAATTCTTACGTAGTTAATAAATAAATAATTAATAGCCTATAGGCTGCTGGGTGGTTTAATTTACCTAGCTTAGTAATAGTTATTTTTATACTAGGAGATAATTTAACGTATAATTGCTATTAATTATTACAGTTATAACGTTAAAAGTTAATAAAAGAGGAAAGCTTACTCTTTTTTACTAACTAATAACTAATTACTTATTGTTACTTATTAATAATAAGTTATTATTAATTAATAATAAGTGCATCAGCAAGACATTTAACCTTTTAAATAATATTTATAAAAGAAATTTAAATATTTAATTTCAAAATTTTTGATATTAAAATAAATTATAAAAATAAAATTTAAAGTAAATAATTAAATAATAATATTAAAATTTAAAATTAATTTAATAAAAATAATAAAAATAATATAATTTTAAAATTAATTATTATTTAATTTATAACTATAATAAATAAATTTAAAATATTTATTAAAAAATAATAAAAATTTATTAATTTTTATAAAAAAACTAAAGTTTTAAAAACTTAATATAATATTTAATTAATTATTTAATTATTGTATAATTTTCTTTATTATATTTTTTATAATTTTACTATAATATATAATATTAAAATATATATATATAAAAAAAAAAGTATTTATAAAAAAATATTATAATATTATTATTATATATATCTTTTTATAAATATTTTTTATTATTTCTTTTTTATATTTTAATATTATATATTATAATAAAATTATAAAAAATATAATAAATAAAAATGTACAATAATTAAATAATTAATTAAATATTTAACTCTTTTAATTTTAATTAACTTATTTTTATTAAACTTAAAGTAAAATATTATATATATTTAATATTTAATATATTTTTTTATAAATATTTTATTAATATAATAAATATAATAAAAAAGTAAAATAAAATTATAATATATAAATAAATAAATAAATAAATAAATAAATAAATAAATAAATAAATAAATAAATAAATAAATAAATAAATAAATAAATAAATAAATAAATAAATAAATAAATAAATAAATAAATAAATAAATAAATAAATAAATAAATAAATAAATAAATAAATAAATAAATAAATAAATAAATAAATAAATAAATAAATAAATAAATAAATAAATAAATAAATAAATAAATAAATAAAGAAATAAATAAATAAATAAATAAATAAATAAATAAATAAATAAATAAATAAATAAATAAATTATATATTAAAAAATAATTATAATTATATATTAATATATAAATATTAAAAGTTTTATAAATAATTTTAAAAATAAAATTAATAAAAAAAATATTATATTATATTTTAATATTTTATAATTAATATATTAACTATATATATAACTTTTAGCTACTAACTTATTAATATATTAAATATAGCTTTTTTTAACTTAAAATTTTTTTTAGTTTATTAAAATAAATACTTTTTAAAAAAAACTTTAGTAAATATTATATATATAAATTTTACTTAGCTATAACTTAACTAAGGATTTATTATTACTTAACTTTTTAAAGAATATAATGTAGTAAATATTCTAAAATAGCTTATAATTTATTTAACCCAGTGCTTTGCTAAAGCGCTGCAGCTGAAAGTAAAGTTCCTGTTACGACCTGGCTCTTATAGTTGCGACAATGAGCCTATAGGGTAGGCGCTCCCAGATAAACGTAGGACCGATACACCAATCAGCGTTAGGTTAATAAGAATCGGCGTCGATTCCATCGACGTACAACAAGATTAATGCAAATCGACATTGATTTATATCGACTCCAGATACACAACTGGATATATAAAGTTTACGTTCTTACACTCATTAAGATAGCTTAGATAGCCAGTTGTTAACATAGCAATTAGATTAAATTCAGCTACCACATCTACCAGCTACGTGACATTGACAAAACAACGCCCGTAACCGACCTGACCGCTCCGCCAACATAAACCTAGAACCTAGAGGTTTGTCCCTTGGGAACAGCTAACCTATACCTACCTATAGGACCCGGTTCGTCACAGTTCCCTAAGTAAAGCTTTAGGTAAAATAGTTAACTAAAAAGCGGGTCCATTAGGTTTAATTAGGCTAGTTTAAAAAATAAAAAAACAACTTTAAAAATCCTTTAAAAAATTTAGTTTTTAAAGTTTTTTTCTTTTTTTGTAAATAATTAGTTTAGTTATTTTTTTATAAAATTTTTAAAAATAAGCCTATTATTTACTAAAATAAAATAAGGAAGGAAATCTACCTTATATTACTTATTTAGTACATAGTTTATTATAGTATCAATGCGCTAAATAAGCAATAAAAGCAAGGAATATTCCTGAGGCAGAAATAACTTTAAGTTATATAAAATTTTAGAATATTTTCGCTCTTCCTCCCTCTTCCATTTTTCTCTTTACTCCTCCCTCTGTTAACTTTTCCTCTTTTATATCTTTCCCTCCCGCTCTTTTGCGTTGAATGACTCCGCATGGTCCTGCAGGAGCCCCTCTGCTGAGTCGGCGAGTGAGCCAGGTTGTCTCGGTCTGGTGTGGGGAGTCTCAGATAAAGAGGCAAATGCCATCGCAGCCGCCTGGGTTGGCAAGCGCAGGTTAAAGTTTACAATACAATTGTTAAGGGAAATGGTGTAAATCAGTCTAGGATTGATTACAGACTTTAAGATAGAAAGTGGTGTTCAGTCTGCCAAATCTGGGGGAGTGGCCGTCGCTTTTATTAGGTTTGGTACCGGCGGCTACACCAAAGCCGGAACGGCCGCACGACTAGGCTAATAGCTTGGGAAGCAAACTACTGGCACGTAGAGCTTCAAATTAGCTACTGTATATAGGCATTCGATAATGGAAACGTAATAATTACTAGTACTTCGTAATTTGATCGTTCTTTATGTCCTTCTTTCTTCATACCAAGTGCACTGTATACAGGGGGGTTTCAAAATACTGGCCTCTCAGAGTTTTCATACTGGTCCCCAGCATTCCTCATTTACAACCACCAGGTCCGTGACAAGGAAACGACCAGTGAGCCTTGGACGCACGCGAAAATTGGAGCCGGTTGGACTTTTTTTCGAAAAATGGATAACTGCAGAAGAACGAGGGAAGAAAGGATGAGCCCAGGATCAATAGTAATATAAGAGCGTCCAATAAGGCGGGAACCGAGGCCTTGCGTTATCCATAATCACGCGAGCCCAAACCCAGAACGCGAAGGGACATATAAGGGCGTCTTCTGTTGTATGGTGCATTTGGTTGCATTGGCAAGTGGCACACCTGAAATTCTATCACTGAGCCATTTGAGCCACTCAGGCGCCGAAGCGGCCATTGACTCGTCGTGGGTGAGGTTGTGATACACGCTCAGGTGAACGATGTTGCCTTTTTTGCAGGCGAAATCGTATGCTTTAATCGTAGCAGTGTAATTCACAATCTCATCGTCATGGGACTGTATAACAAGGAAATCCTTGTATCCTTTTCTCCCGGTCGCGGCGCCATACTGGTCTTGAAATTTGGTGTAAGCTTCATGAATCGTCTTATCCTGCTCAGGAGTAGGCTTCAATATGCCATGGTTCGGGAGGTCAAAGTTGAGGCCCGCATATGAATTGTCGCAGAGCCCAAGCGCATTCATTAGCGGGTAACGCTTCATGGCCTCTGGGGTTAAGACGGGTGGCTGTATGGAGAAATTCAGGGACTGGAAGATGTTCACAATCAGGGGGCCGAATCCATATCCCTCAGAAAGAGGAGCGGCGGTCAGGAGATCATTCAGTCTCGCACTAGGAGCTACGGCAACTCCTCCCACGTATTCGCCACTCTGGTTAGAAGCAACACGGGGATTCTCCTCGAGACCCCATATGGCTCCAGCGCCTTGAGAATGACCGAGAGAAGCCCATTTAGTGGTGAAGACGTTTGGGAAAGCTTTGCGGGCGGCAACAACAGCGAAATATACGTCTTCTGAGTTAATGACTGGGTTTCCGTACTTGTGTGTGGTGTAGTTGTTGCCCAAGCCCGCGTAGTCTGTAGCAACCACAGCGAATCCGTGGGGTGGGAGAAGCTTCCAGCTGTCGTAATCGTACCCGTTATAAGAAGACGACGCGGCGCAAGCAGCGGCAGTTCCGATAGTACCATGCGCATATGAAATAAGCGGTGTTTTGTTGGATGCCTCACTCAAATAGGGAAGAAGGATAAACCCAGTGGATGGGACTGGCTGTCCACCAACACCGACAGATGTATATTGGATGAACCATAACGAGCTGCCAGGAGTGATATCATACAGAGTGGAATTCTGCCGCTGAAGCTTCAACAGGTCTCCAGGTTTAGATTTAGTAAAGTTATCTGCGGTGGCGTAGAAGTCATAGTTGAAGGGAGCATCTCCAAAGATCGGACGGTCCAATGCCTCGAATGTTTGTAGGTTCTCTAGGCAGGCCTTAGAAGAACAACCGTACGCATTACTTTGGGCCTGAGTGATGTTGAGGTCGTTTGGACGATTGGGCTGTTGCGCTTGAACGAGGGCGGCCAAAGAGGCCAGCAGAAGCCCCAAGGAATAGACAGTCATTATGTTGGACAACAGTGTGGGATGTATGTATTACTGCGGTTGAAAATAGATTTATGAATTGGCAACAAAGTTATAGAATAGAGCAGCAAGAGCGCATAACGATTCTTTATAAACGTACATGTATGTAAGCTATCGTCGATGGAATGTGGCCATGAGATTAGGGACCGTGGACTGGATTGATTACTAGCTCTATTTGATCGGCCACTGAAGGTTAATTCTTATTGTAGCATAACGCGACACCGTCCTTTTCCAAAACGGAAGACATTAACAAGGTGACGTTTCCCTAAGCGTAGGCACCCACTAATTAGAAAGTCTATTTTGAACACGCAAATGCTCTCCCAACGTCAATATTCACGAAACGTCAGATTGACGCTCCAACCTATAAGACTTTGAAGCTATAGGGTAGCTAGTCTTATCACTGGTTTAGTAACAAAGGGTCAAAATAGAATATAAGGGTCAAAAGTGGTCAATTTTGCTTGTTGAATTCGTTGATTGATTGAAGTTACTAGTACAGGAAACTCAAGAAAAACCTCTATTATATATATTCCAAAAATAAATACTAATAGCTAGAATTGGAATATATAAAGACTATCATTAGACAGCCCTGAATTTAGGCTATCTTTTAGTATAGCTTATGTATCTTAATTCTTTCTGCCGGTTGCGTAATTGTTGAGTGTTTATAAGCTTTATTGGGGATCCGTTTCCGTTGTTGGTGGAGGAATCGGCCGGATCCGGATTTCGCAATTTTCAAGCTTTTTGCAAGGCTCCCCTTTAGGATCTTAGGGACCCACTTTCATAAGCATTCTTATTGGCTTAGAGCGCTTATATAAGTAGTATTCTAGCCCTCTAATTGGCCAGAATTCTTAAAAAAGTAAGTCTTTTAAGATTGAATTTGATTTTTGAACTTTTGGAAAGCTATGCTTTATAGTACTTTGAGGTACTATAATTCCCTGAAACTTTATTAGCTTATAAAGCCTTATGGCGTTAGTCCTAATTAAGCAATAGCTATTAAAAAAGGCTATAAGCTAAACCTAATTAAGCAATAGTTTATAAGCTATGGGTAGGTTGGAATATTGATATATTAGTATAGCTTGTTACCAAGGATTATAGGGGTTATAGGGGATAATTAGCTATTAATAGCTGTAGCTTTAAAGGGTACCAAAATAACCACTATAAGCTTTATTTTCTAACTATAGCTATAGCTATAGCTATAGTCTAATGCAACCTGACATCAATATCACTCAATGCAACTACCAGTAGGATTATAATTAAGGCTATCTGTATATCGTCCCTAAGCAAGCTAGTTTAGCGTTACCCTGCGGCTAGGACAGTTGGGAGAATAATGTTATTGGTTTTTCTGCACTAGGAACAAGCTGAAAATGGCTGCCGGTTGAACTATTCACTCATGCACTTATGTGCAAATTGGCGACACCACTACGGCGCACGCCTTTCACTTTATACAAAACTGTGCGTATCAGAAACCCTCCAAAGTAAACGTAAGCTTAGGGTCGTCAGGGCCGCCAATAGTACTCTTGGGTTTCATGTCTCTACTCCAAATGCACCCTATACCAAGGCGATTTCGGTTTGCGGATAGTTAACCTAGCCGCTATTTTTGCCTCTTTTTTCGCAGTTTCAATATTGCTTCTCAATTTTTATTGATATCACTCTAGCACTCTAGCACTTTGACATCATGAACCGTTTTTTCCATGACCTTTGTTGCCATCAGTCGTCATTTTGTCTGAGTCCACTGCATCGCCACTATGAAGGCCACTATCGATGAGTACATACGTGCCGCCGCCGTCAATAGTGTTCTAGAAATGCCTTTTACGCATCTAGCGACCGAGACATTTGACCTTCTTAGGGTTCTTCTAAGCCCTTTGTTCGTTTGTTCGTGGCCGCCAGAAAAGGTAAATTCTGGGGCGGAATGTCACGTGCATATCACTTCAACAATTGTGATATCACACTTGGCAGAAAAAAAAGTGTGATATATATTTACGGTGATATATATCACTTTAGCACTTTAGTACGATGTGATATCACTTTAGCATATCACAATACGCAAGTCTGATCAGGGCTGCTACCCGGGGATCGGGTATGAATAGTGGGGTCAGAAGCATAGGCATCATGAGCCCTAACGCTGCATCACATGAGGCCCTCATGCGTTACGATTATGTCCAATTGGGGCGGGATCCTCGTGAAACAGCCTTTGTAGAGTTAAGTCTCATACCATCTTCTTCTAGTAGAGCTACATTCCTTTAGTCCCCCGATCTATATTTGCTATTTACACTCTAGTAGTATCCAAGTGCGCGCATGTTTTAGGCAATCTGATTGAGCCCCTGTTCCAGTATTTGTTATATAGCCATGAGATTGAAAATAGAGGAGAAAAGTAGGAACTTAGACTATGCATATATATGTCAACTTCAAGTTCTCTTCTTCGGAGTGCGTAGAATTTACATACCGTCGGTTATCATACATCATATCGAAAGCGGTACGACTTCGAGTCACTGCTGAGTCAAGAGCAGTCCGAACAAATTCTTTCCATTCGTCTTGGAGATTTGGAATCGCGACACCTGCGCCGTTTTGTGCATACCAAGTATTGAAAGTGCCCATGTGGTCGTATATGGCCTCATATGTTGCGCAGAACATATCCCATATTTCGTTTGTATTCAGATAGTTGAATGCCATGCCTAGTTTGTTAGCTAGTTTTATGGTTGGTGTAGCTCTGATAACTTACCGACTTCCTTGGCTACTAAGAGCTGTTCTTGTTGAGTTTGGCCCTTGTATGTATTATCTGATACAACAGTGTTACCTTGAAATATCTGCAGCGCGCATATTAGCTTCAGATTACAGGAATATTTAAAAGGAAATTGCAGCTTGGAAATGTGAACACGACTTACCAATCCTTTTCTTTGATTAGGCCTCGACTGAAATATTGTTAAGCGGTCCAAGTGAGCTTGGCTGCCCAGCTCCGACATGAGAATCTGACCAAACGATGCCTTCTTCAGATTCCCCGCGTAATTGGGTAATTGAAAGTAATTAGCATTTCGTATCTTGGATACATATTCGTTAGTGACGGAACATGCCATCTTGGGCGTCGTGTAGATGGCTTTGTCCTTGTCATTCAGCCTACCCTTGTCCAGCCAGTAGGTAAAGAAGTCACCAATTAGCTGACCCTCAAAAACATGCTCGGCTGTGAAGACATATCAGCTAAACAATCTTCCCAACGAATGAACTCGAGTGTATACATACTTTGGTATGATGACCTTGTTGCCTCATACCCTGGGAGCCCATTTCGCTTGGGGATATATGTCACATCTGCTGGTTGAATCTTGCCTACCGCCCAGCTTTGGCAAAGGCCTGATGAGTTGCCCCAATACCTCGATATTGAATCCCATCTGCCCTGTTGGATGCCTTCCCATGGCCATGTATCATCCTTCGGAAATGACGGGTAATTGTACGGCGTATTTGCCCAGACATCTTTACCGCAAAATTTGGCTTTTTTTGGCGTAATGGTTGCCTCACCTGCATCACGCTTTGAAATGGCATGCTCAGATCCCACTTCAAGATCACCTTCTTCTCTTTTCAAATTGGTGCTGGTGCTTGGCCATTCGCCAGCGCGCTGCTCGCAAATGTTAGGGTCACAGGGGGGCATATCCCGCAGATCCCAAACATAGTCCATAGAAATGCATCCGCAGCATTCGTTTATATCTTCCTCGTAACAATCATCGCAATTCACACAGAGAAATTTCGATTTCGAGCTCTGGAATGTACTTAGTCCCTGGCTAGCATCGAAATAAAGGTTTGGATCTGCGGCGCTACCAGAGCCGTAGCCCCAGCCGTCTATTGGTATTGATCCCATTTGTCGAGGACTAATGGAACCTCGCTTTGATTCAAGGCCATGATCATTGATGTTTTCGTAATCGATGAGCATATCTGTGTTCGCATCGGCCAAGTCATCAGATAAACTGTTGTTAGGGAGTCTTATGTCTCTACGTTTCGTCGAACTGGTCGCTGGTGGATAGCAAACTTGGCCGCTGGAGGGTTTTTGCTGATCAGAATTAGTATGATAACACACTTTCCCAAAAGCTGATATGGATAAACCCTACTCGATCGTATACGAGATTTGCTGCTAAGCTGCTAGACGCATTCCAGCCAAGAGATTCCCTGTAGGCCATCAGATTCAATGCTCCAATGTTTCAATACTTCATAGTGGCGATAGCACAATATCACTTACCCATTTTCTACTGTTTGATAAACGTTTGTACTAAGCCCCAAAAATCATCAGTGACAATCTGGCTATAGTGTATACAATTGTGTCACACGTATTGCAACTCACATAATTTCATAATCGGAACATGCAAACTCGGGGTGGTCTTCGCTTCCGGGTGAAAAAGTAAAAACTTCCATAGTATCATAAACCAGCTCCAGCTATGTTTGGTCAGCGACTAACTTAATATTGATCCGAGCAACGGAGAATACCTTCGGAAGGTCAAATGCCCAATGAAATAAATCACCGAATATGAGGAATTCCAAGTTCAACCCTAGGGTGAGAGAAGTACCAATAGCAATTTGGCCGCCGTTAGGAGAACTGCCATAAAGGACATCATCTTTGGGTATCGATATCTGGTTCTGTTGGCGTTTGTCGTTGTACATCCCTTCAGGTGGATTTTCAGGAGGCGGAAAGTTTGCCTGGAAGTCTCCAAAATCGGTAATGATACGAGTGGTTAGCCGTCCGTTGAATGCAGCTGTGCTACTCGAAAAATCACCGCCGTTGGAACCGTTGAGAGTTGCCATTTGATATGTGAATTGATAGTATGGATTGAGTGATATTATCCCGCCCGAGGCCGAAGTATCGATCGTGTGGCCCTTTAGGTTAATGCGATTGTCATCGCTAATTGCTGGGTTTCCTTTCCCTGCTTTGGATATGTCAATATCTCCAATGCCCCCAATGCCATACGTTAAATCCGTCTGGCCCCTTGCTTTCAAAAAGCCATGAGCTTGGTCTACTTCAAATTTCTGATTGTTAAATGTTGCCTGGGGGAAAAGAAGAGATATGTCAGCCAAACTTTTTCTTTGGTAATGCCATGCTGGCAAGCGCTGCTTAAAATAGAAGACGGGTCGTACAATCATAGAGAAACCGAACCAAAATTGCGCATCAATATCGCCTTGGACAAACGCTCCGAAGCCTTCCGCATAAGTGGAGCCGCCTCTAGAACAGTCCTCCACGGACTGCCAGAAAACTGGCGCGCTCAGGTCTCCTTTAATCTGCGTAGCATCAGTGTGGGACCAATCGAATTCGACTTTGTCGAATACTGAATCCCAATCTTCTGTCGTCGGGGCGAAAAATCGGCTTTCTAATCTATTCAAATCTCGAGACTGAATACCTGGTGCATTGACAAGATGGTCCCAGTAGCCCTTGACGTTCGAGTAGTCTAGTCGGAATCTGGTGTTGTTCGAGTCTCTGCGCATGAGACCAAGGTTGAAGTCAAATGAGAAATCATACACGACAGAGGTGGGAGTTCTCTTTCCTATGCTCAAAGGCACAGATTGGTCTAACATGAAACTGAGCATTAGTCATACTGAAATTCGACTTTTAGCCTCCCTAATGCATTTGGTAACTCACCAGGCGAGACGTTCAAAGAGATGGCTCTTGCAAATGTATTAGAGGCGCACTGCAGTGTTATCGTGTTAGCATTCTCTAGTACATTTATTCTAACGTGGTAAGGGGGAGGATGGGCTTACATTATCAGGCATCTCAACAATAGTCCCTTCTACGCCACGCTCAAGAATTCGGAAACATCCCTCTACATCTTCGCTCAAGCAGATGACTCTGGCACTTTGAGCTTTGTCTTTTGGCTGTTCTCGAACATCTGAAGGGCAGTCGAGGAAAACAAATGGTTCCGGTTCCCCACTCCTTTTCTTCAGTTTTGAGACAACATGGGAGTCGCCAGCAACCAGAAAAAAGCCGAATGGTCCAGTCGTAGGATTCACATCATTTAGATCACCACCACTGCCGAATGTGACCAGGCCATATGAGGTCGGAGAGTCAGAGGGTGGAAGCTCCTCTGACGGGAATAAGTACTTCAGGTCAACAAGAGAGAAGGCGCTGTCAGCTCCGGTCGATCCACTATATCCTGAGATAGCTCTAAGTGCGTCAAGTTTACTGTCATCAAGGTCGATTGCCCAGATCAGAAGTCCCGAAAGACCAATCTTATTGGCATAGTCGATCTTTGCCTGGAATGTGATTTCATCATCATAACTGCGTACTCTTCGTATTAACTCAATGGCAACTGACCACATAGCTGGCCCATTATGTCTCTCAGGATGGTGACTTACGAAACCCAGTTGTTATTGCCATATACCATGTACCGTACAGCAGCTTCTTTATCTAAGTATGAGGTTGCACCAGTCTGGTCGAGTATCGTTTGTATCTCTATCGGTCATTTTAGGGTTAGGATCTGTCTTATGGCTTGTACTGGCTAGATGATCATGAAATCTCACCTCGATATGACAAGATGCCTGCTGTACCAGTACACTGGCCCGCATCTCCTGGGCCACCAAACGGACAGCCCGGTTTCCAGCAAGATGACGACTTCAAGTTAAAAGTTCGACCGTAGAATGCAATACCTAAGACGATGCTGGACGGTTCTATTTCCGCTCTCCAAAACTAATTGTATTGGTTTGTTAGTAAAAGCACAGGGAAAGTAATAATATATAAAGATATAATGCATGGAACTGACTAAATCCAGAGCTAGGTCAATCTCAGTTAGATTAGTATGAGCGAGGACCTGGCTACCAATCGGGTTTGTACTATCCCAGACCCCATGAAGATCATAGGACATGAGATTGATCCAATCGACATATGTCGACATGTTTTTGATATCGAAATGCCGTAGGTACCAATATGATGTTGGTGCAGTAAATGTCACAATGTAGCTATGGCCGCTACTGGTTATGGCTGCTCGTAGCTCCTTGAGAAGGGCAACGTAGTTGGCAGCGTCTACATCACTGCCGCCTCGATCGTCGGCCCCCGGGTATTCCCAATCTAAAGTTGTGGTTAGTTAAGTGTTATCAGTTGTTCTCCTTGGTATGTAGTGTAGAATGGACACCATGAAATATCATCATTTGAGGTCTCAATGCCAAATGCAAACTTACCAAAATCTGCAACATTATGTTAGCTAATATCCTATACGACAAAGAGAATTGATGCATTCAGATTACTTACCAACTCCATCGTAACCATACTCTGAGAGAAAACCTAGTAGATTCTGGATAAATATCGCACGATTTGCTGCAGAAGACGTTATTGTAGGAAAAATGGCGCGCCAAGGGCCGGGGTCACTGAAAGCCCAGCCTCCTAAAGAAATGACAATTTTGAGACTTGGGTTTCTAGCCTTAAGATTGCCCACATTGCGGTATAGATCTGAGGACACGCCGTCCATGTTTGTTATACGAAAATCGCTGCTGATATATCCGAAAGCAATATTCAGATGGGTAAGATAGTTAACCGGAATCTCGCCAACAGTCATCGTGCCGCATAGATGCTGAGAGTTCCAGGCTTCCCAATAGCCAATAACTCTCTGTTGAACATCTGTGGCAGGTCCAGAAGGCTTGGGTTGCTCGCAATTAGACTGACAGCCCTTGCCACAAAAATCTGCAGTTGTTCCACAGAAGCCAAACTCAGAGCAACAGACGTTTAGAGGGCAAGCGGCACCAGGCTGGCGGGCAAATTCACCGCAATCAGCAGTGGCATTGCAGTTGGACTGGCAGCCTTTGCCGCAGTACGTCAGGCCATAGCCACACCATCCACTTTCGCCGCAGCAAGCCCCATTAGAGCATGGTTTGTTGGGGCCGCAAGTAAAATCGTCCTGGCCAGCAGCAGGTGTTGTGTTTGCCAAAGCGTCAGGCTCAACAAAAGACGCAATGAAGCGTGACGATAAGTGCTGATGAAGATCTTCTTCAGCGTTTGCCCTGGGCTGGGCATGATGTTTATGAAGGTTACGAGGACCAGGATAGTGATGAGATGCGGCGATGGGTATCGACAAGAGCAGAATACAGCAAAGGAGAGCTGTGAATATAATGGAAAAATTGTTTGCCCATGGCCGCAGCCCCAGCGGCGACATGGTGATGATCTGAATACACAGTACTCAAATAAAATACAGGTAGGGTATGGAGGGCATTACTTTGAGGTCTATGTGATAGAGGAAGTTAAGGCATAATATACTAGAACTAACGTGACCATTCCCATAACATGGCAAATGGGCAAGAGCTGAGCCACATACATGTCCTCATTTACAGTAGTCATCAGTGACTTGCCGTTATAGATAGCCACTTACGGGACCTCTCGTATCACTCATTACCGTATAGGAGAGTGATTCTTGTGCTTGAAATTGATCTACCTTGTCCAAGTGAGTTCCAGATTGGTCCAATTCGATCCACGTCTTTCTTGTAATTGATTCAAGCCCCAGTTACGAACGGGCAAAGTTTGTGTAACCAGCCCGAAACGAACATGCCTGAGGAATCGCATGAGAGGAGCACAGAGTGCCGAGGCGAAGGACGGAATACACAAGGAACATTGAACGTTGGCACCGGGTCAAACAAGGACCCTATTGGTACGGAGTATCGGAAATCAACTCACTTGTTAAACCCCCGTCTGCGACTATAGCAAAGTTTTCAACCAACGACCGGATTTATTACTGCATACAAAGTAGTTGCGCGAGCGACTGCTACCCTCCGTTGGACTATTGAGTAGAGATTCGAGTTTTCACAGCTTGTACTGATACATAAGTTCCCGCTTATGCGGCATATACTTCCGGTTCGACCAACGCAGGGGAACATCGTGCTAGCGATGTTCCCCTAAGGCGTGCCGATATTGCCAGCGATACGATTTTACGACTTGCTTTACGACTTGATCCATGCTCCAAGTTCCGCAGCTAAGCTGTGAAATAAGCCTAAACAAGACGTAACATCTTTAAATTTAACCCTATCCGTACAATAAAAATTTTTAGGCCCTTCAAGAAGATCCACATCGCTGGGGCCTTTGCGGCACTTCAGCGAGTCAAGAGGTTCAGCCAACAACATAATGCGCTCAACCAACAGCACCGGGAGAGCCTCCGAGCCCGTCTTTTTTTTTTTTTTTTTTTTTTTTTTTTGGTTTAGCTGTCCATTGGAAGCGAAAGGTTTTTTGCTAAACCAAAAAACTGCCCCTTCATTTCCGTGAGTCAAAAAAAGATCAAATGATTCGATAATGGAAGCCGATGTTTCAGTGCACGAATCTACATGTCCTTTACGGTCAGTCAACTGGGTTGTCGGAAACAAACGGACATAGCAACTTCAGTTTGTCCAAGCTGTGGCATTACACAATATGTACTGTCTCATGGCTTATCAGTCGACATAACTAACAACGTTGCACACGTTAACTTTTTTTTTTTTTTTTTTTTTTTTTTGACTTAATCTGGAGCCTTCCCGCTTCTGAGTTTGCTTCATTTTACTTCCTGGACGTCTATCTGGTTTCACTCTTGCTCGCGGTGTCAATTCACAAATTGACAATGAGACCGTTATTTTTCAGCCAGCTGCTTTTCGTCGGCATACAGGCGTCAAAAATAGACGTATCCCAACCGATCCGTGCCGATCAAGCCAATTGTCATCTCTATGCCATCCAGCCAAGTGACAGCTGCATTGATATCAGCAGCAAAAATAACATTACCTATGCCCAACTGCTCTCCTGGAACCCTTCAATTAAACCTACATGCTCGTATGTTTGACTCTATTCAGCTATATGCTGCTCTTGCTAATATGTTGAGATCAGTAACCTCGCGAGGTTGAATGCAAGCAGCATCTGTGTCAGTAACCCTAAAGGCTCTTTCTCCATCTCAAGCAATACACTAGGGGCAACTGTCATTGCTACAGCAACTGCGTGAGCTCTTCCAGCAGCCCATTGGGGAATTGTGTCACTTCCTGTATCAGTACTGATGTATTTGACAGCCCAATTCCGTCTCCCACACTGGATCATACAACATCTCGCTGCGCCAACTATTACAAAGTTGTCGAGGGCGATGACTGCCCACACTTGACTGCGCTGTTTGCCATTACATTGACGGATTTGTACGCCATCCACGCCAAGCTCCTAGACTGCTCATTCAGAGATTCTATCCGGATTTGATTGGAAGCTAACTGTACTTTGATCCTGCTAGCCTCTTTTTGAATTCTGAAGTCTGGCAGAATTGCACAAATCTGCAAATAGGGTATTATTACTGCGTTGAGCCTGTCGGATATATTTCGACATACCCCGGATATGGATCTACGCCTACAACCAGACCGTTCAATCAGACTAGCGCGACATCTCTGCCGTATTCTGGGGATCCATGGGCCAAGTTTTCATCAAACGTTTCAGTGATACCTATAGCAAACAACACACGCGTAGACTGCTACTCGTAAGAATATAAATCAAAGCTCGCCCTTTAAGTCTTACTAACGCGAACACGCTAGGTATGTCTACATAACCAACCTCACGGATAATCTATTTGCAGACTGCTGGAATATGGCATCGATGTATGACATTACTCCCGAGGTAAGTATCTGTCGGAGAGCACTGGGTCTAGGACTTCTTTTGTCTCTTTGAATCAAAAGCTAATGGTAATTCCAATAGGAGCTGGTACTTTGGAATCCGTCCCTCAGCGAAGATGGGTCAGCTTCAGGATCAGACCTGTCATCTGCTGATGTTAATGGAATTGCATCGGCCATAGCAGTCGCGACAACCGCGTCGAGCCCCCCGAGCACCCCTTACACCTATCCGTGTACGGTGGCTGCGAATACTTCATACTGCGTAGCTTTAGTTTCTCCCACAGTTGGTAAGTCATGTTTCATAATTCACGCAGACTACATTGAGGCGTAATCTCCGATTCATGCTGATATATGTAAATCTATAGCCCCATCGACAGTAACTCCGCCCCCCGGTCCTCATGCAGCAGGAGAGATATCTAATTGCACGACCTGGTACGCACTCGATAGCTCCGATACGTGCCAGGAAGTCTTACAAATTGCTCATTTAACGTTTGCCGAGTTCTACGGAATGAACCCCTCCGTTGGTCCATACTGCGCCGGACTCGTCTTGGGAACAAACTATTGTATCTCAACCTACCCCAATGGTATGAAACTGAACGATGATTGGGATGGAGATGACAGCATCCCATCTTCCTCATCTTCGACCACATCCATGGTCACTGGAATTGTCACCCCTATGCCAACACAAAGCGGCATGGTCAGCAACTGCAATAAGTTCTACGACGTCCACTCAGGAGATGGCTGTTCAGCCATTGCAAGCAGCCAGCATGTTGACCTGAGCTCGTTTTATAAATGGAACCCGGCTGTGAAGACGGACTGCTCTGGTCTCCAGGCCAGTGTCTATGTCTGTATCGGCGTGGCCACAACATCCGCATCTAGTACGACCTCCACGTCTGCTTCTAAACCAACAACCACTTCTAAACTGGCTTCTACTACTTCCAAGCCCACGACTACATCTAAATCCACAGGAATCATAACCCCTACGCCAACACAAAGCGGCATGGTTAAGAATTGCAACAAGTTCTATGATGTCCGCGCCGGAGACGGCTGTGCAGTAATCGCAAGCAGTCAGCAAATCGACCTAAGTTCATTTTACAAGTGGAACCCAGCAGTTAAAACTGACTGTTCCGGACTCCAAGCAAGCGTCTATGTGTGCATTGGCACCGTAGCAACTGCAACAACTTCCAGCATAACCACACCTACACCTACTCAGAGCGGCATGGTGAGCGGTTGTACCAAATTCTACGACGTCCACGCTGGAGATGGTTGTTCAGCTATTGCAAACAGCCAGCATATCTCGCTGTCTTCGCTGTATAAGTGGAATCCGGCAGTTAAAACAGACTGCTCTGGTCTCCAAGCAAGCGTGTATATATGTATTGGTGTGGCGACTGCAAATGCTGCCGCTGCTCGTATAACAGGATGACGTAGATGATTCAAACAAAGAAATGGTACCATGTGGATGGATGCAATAAAAGCCATATAAATAGCAAATAATTATTTTTTCTAACGCACTGATAGAAATACCCTTTCCCCTTAATACGGCCTTCAGAACAATCCATTCCAGTTCAAAAGCTCAAAAAAAGTCAATCGTGAGAATACTCCTTTGCAGGTTAGTAATTACTGCCAGGTACCTACTAAAGCTCGTAAAGTACCGTCCTCAAATGACTGTGTGTCGTTGGTTCGGCAATTGAGCCCATGCGGTACCTGCAGGGAACATATACAGTATAAAGACAAAAGTCTGCGACCACTCTACAATATCCCCGCAAAAACCTATATTTTCAAATACCTGCAAAATAGCTATATTAAGTTTTAATAAATATTTTTTTTCCAAAATATTATTAATTAATTAATATATTTTTTATATTTAAAGTTATATTAAATTAAAATAACTATTGCTGTTGTTATAAGTAATAGAAAATATAGTATTTTTATATAAATTTACTATAGTGGGTTATAGCAGGAAATAACGTATTATTATTACTTTTTTTCTTAGATAAAAATATTTATTGATTTTTTATTATTTTTCCCTTAATTATATACTTAATTAATAAAATTATTTTTTAAAAATATTTTTATTAAATTTAACTATTTAGCGTTATATAAAATCTTTTTTACATTTTTTGCATTTTTACGTTAATAATTATGTAATTTTTAAAAATGCCTGTTTTTGCATTTTAAGGTAAGGCACTGTAAAGTGGTCGCAGACTTTTGTCCTTACACTGTACATATACGCGGGCCCTTGTTTACATTGATGCTTAGTTATGTTGAGACGTGCTGGCGCCTAATAAGGGACTTAGCAGGTACCTGTTAACTATTAATATTCTCTGGAACCCCACCCAAAGCCTCTCTTCACGGCCGCAATCTTAATTTGCCATCCATCCAGCCACCGGACGTTTTAGCACTCTAGTCATCTCCAACTCAGCTATTTGTTGTCAAGTCCTCGCAACCATGGGAATTGTCTCATCAAAACAAGCTCACAAATATCCTGAGCCACAGTATTATAACGATGACCCATTCTCAGAGGCCGCCATGGCCAGAAGAGCTGAAGATATACGCCAAAGGTTTCCAATCGTGACCCCGGCCGACGATGCCATGTCACCCGATTACACAGCCTTCGTATCGCCAGGTGAATATGCATTCTCTCGCCCCTCAACGAAGATAAAAGGATGCTAATGATGAGCTACAGATTCTCCTCCACTTTTGACCACACTGCCTCCCGAACTTATGAAGAATCTGGTGAGCCATCTAGACAATCGCTCAATTAAGAGTCTTCGCTTGACCTGTAGACTTTTTAGCACCATCAGGCTGCGCATCAGTCGAGTCTTTCTCTCCGCCAATCCACTAAATATTCAAGTATTCCGCTCTATTGCAGATCATGATGTGTATCGTCAGGGCATTACGGAGATCATTTATGACGATGCACGCTTTTGCCGCTCCTTTGCTGATCATTGGAATGAGTTAAATCCCGAGAGCCGGTGGCTTATAGAGACGCCATCAGATAAGGATTGGTTTCACACTGAACGAGATGAACACATTTCCGAGTTGGAAAATCGCCAAGACTCTGACGATCTAGGCCGTCCTGAGCATGTTATAAGGGCACAGCAAGCACATGCAGAGTTATCCATTGCAGAATCATGGATATATTACCAAGATCTCCTGCGTCAGCAGGATGAAGTACTTGCCACTGGAGCTGATGTTGAGGCTCTTCGATATGGCTTGCGACGATTTCCTGCGCTGCGGAGAGTCACTGTTACACCTGCTGCTCATGGGTGGTTATTCACCCCTCTCTACGAGACCCCGATGATCCGGGCCTTTCCCTATGGATTCAATTATCCAATTCCTCGGGGCTGGCCAACTCGACGTGCCGGTGAAGGTAATACATTTTCCGTGCCATGGAGGGATTCAAAAGCGAAATGGCGTGGCTATTGTATAGTCACCGAGGCTTTGGCTCAAGAGCAGCAGCACCACCGCGTCTCTGAATTTCTCATCGACGCCCACTATCTTCATACCGGCCTTAACTGCAGACTCTTTGAGCAGCGATTCCAGGAGTATCTAAATTTTCTATCCGTTCTTCAGCAGCCTAACTTGAAGAAGTTGCAATTATCCCTTAATGTGGATGGACAGCAACATTTAGATTGGCCAGCTTTTCGGAGCAGCCTTTTGCGCAACGCCCTAGCAGAAGCTTCACAACTGGGGCATTTCAGCATGGAGACAAACTGGGATGAGAATTACTACGAAGCGGAGGCTCTGCCGCCCGTGCTGCGAACATTTCTCCCTCTTGATTGTTGGACAGGACTGCGGCACTTTCGGCTGTGGAACTTTCCAGTGGATCGTGCTGATTTAGTAGCAGCGCTCTCACAGCTTACTGGGCTGCGATCTCTTGAGCTGGGGGTTTTAACCATATATTCTGGCTCTGATCTTGAGTTACTCAATGATATGCGCGACTCGCTGCGTTGGCATGAGTGGCTCACGCCGCCCAAAGTCGATTATGCTGTACCTATCCCTGGTAGTTACATTCAAGGACGCGCAATTTGGCTTCACGAAGCTGTTGAAAACTTCTTATATCACGATGGCGGGAATCCCTTTGATACCGAGACCGGTGAAGTAGGCCCTGGAGTGGGAATTATTAGAGACGCATATGATCCAGCGTATGAGAGGCTTTATTAAATACCTTGAAAGATATAGAACTGGGGGTGTTATCAAAACCTTGTCGGTGGGATTGAATGAAAATGATCTTAATAAATGAAAATCTTGGTCTTAAATGAAAGGGGTTGGGTTAACTGAAAGTCGTGAGTAAAGGTTGTGAGTGATATTAGCTGAGTTACCAATGTTTTTTGTAAACTAGCTTACATTTTTATATTGTAATTAAACTATTATAAGCTATCTTTTTACCCTCTCCTATATTATCAGTAATTTTTAATTCTTTAAGGATATTATTAAAACATGTTTTATTAAAGATAAAATATATATTTAAAGCAGTAAATAAAAAAGTACTTTTTAAATTAATTAATATTAAGTTTAAAAAGTAAATTATTCATTCTAAAAGTTAATAATATAAATTTATAAAATATATTTTTAATATATTATTATTATTATACTATAACTATAGTTATAATTAAAAAATAAAATTTATAATAGTTATTTTAATATTTATTTATTAATTAATAAATTATTAAAGTTAAATAATTTATCAACTTTTAGTAAATATAATATTTTAATTATTATTTTTATATAACAAATTATAAACCTATATATTAATGTAAGTTAAAATTTCTAAAGGATAAACTTAAATTTTGGTTTATATTAATAAATAAACTAAGCTAAATATTTAAGCAATATAAATAATAATATTATTAATTAATAAAAAATATTAAATAAATTTAATTTAAACTTTATAATTTATAATTAACTATTTAACTATTTTAAATAAATATATTAAATAATATATATAATATAAAGTTTACTTAAGCTTACTTAAGTATAAATAAATGGTTTTTTCTTAAATAAAAAGTAATTTACTTTAGTTTATTTATTTATATATAAGCTTTATTTATACTTAGGAAGTAGGTTTAAAATTAAGCTAAAGGTAGTATACATAAGGTAATAAAAAACTAAATTAAACTTAAAGTAGTTTTATAAGGTAATAAAAAACCTAAATATAGTATAAAGTAAAGGCTATATTTATTTTAATATAAGGGAAGTATTTATATAAGTAAAAAATTTTTTAAAATAATAATTATAAAATAAAAACTTTTTAACTTTAAACTTTAAAAAACTATAGTTTATTTTAAATTACAGTTTATAAAAAAACTTATAAATATATTTAATAATAGTTTTAAACTATAGTTTATAAAAAAGTTTATAAATATATATATGTTACAGCCTGAACTAATGGAAGTACGTACTATAGTAAAACTATAGGTAAGTACAACCAATAAGAGCTTAGTTCTCCTTCTCTTACACAGGTATATACTATAAAGATTATAAAAATAGCTTTATTTTTATAAATATAATAATATAAGCCTAAATAAGAATAAAAGAATAATTAAATATATAAGTTTACTTTATTATAATCCTTTAAATAGTTAAATAACTAATTATTAATAAAATATTAAAACTAAATATAAATTTAACTTTTTATTTTACTTTTATATATTTATAATTATAACTATTTAAAAGCTACTCCCTATTCTTTTTACTAATATAAACCTATAACCTAGGCTTATTACCTTAAAAACCTTTACTTTATATTAAAAATAAAAATTAAAATATTATATATTAACGACTTTTATTTAAAAAAATATTAATTATCTTTTAAATAATAAAACTATTATATTTAGATCTTTATTTAATAATGCTTTAACTACTGATTTTAATATATTTAGATTTAATAAAAAAGGAAATATTATTATAAAAAATACCCTGGATTAGGGAAATTTAATTAAAAATTAAATTACTATAGTCCTTTAGAATATGTTTTAACTTAATAAAACCTTTATTAATAGAGTTAATAAAAATAAAAAATAATTAATTAAAAAAAATATTAGAATTTTTATTAAGTATTAGCCACCGCCTATATATAATAAAAGTGTTAAAAAACTTAAGGGATATTTAATTTAACTTAAGGCTTACTTTAAAGATTTTAAAAATACTTTTAATATTTTTAAAAAGAAAGTTTATTTTATAGTATTTTAACTTAAAGGATATACACTATAATAGTTTTAATTTATTCTAAATAACTACTTAAATA